TGCGATTCCAGTTATTTTTAGCGAAGCCGCAGCCTCCGGGAACCGGGAGTCAAGGGGAAGCCGCCCCTGCGCCTCCCGGAGCTGCTTGCGGAAAACGATCGATTAAGCCTGCGCTGCCAGGGCCCCGTGCCAGGCGGGCAGGCGGCGCTGAGGGCTGAGCCGGCACTAGGACCTCTCAGCCGCTGCCCTCTCCCCCCGACATTGGGGCCAGGTGGTAGGAGAGGCACCAGCTGCTCCTCAGCCGCCCTCTCCCGTGCCTGCCTCCGCCATCTCTATCCACAGGGCAACTTAGGGTGGGCAGCCTCGGGAGGTTGGGGAGCAGGGAAGGACCCCAATTCCTGCCTGGCTTTCTGGCTGGTTCAGGTCTTGTCCCAGGGGGGCTGCAGGTGGGCCCTGCCCTGGCGAGTGCTTGGCGTGAAGGGGTCCCCCGGGCCTCGCCACAGCTGCCAGGTAGGTAGAGCCCTCGGCCCCTCACAGGCGAGGACTGAGCACTGCCCCCCGCGTCAAGACGGCGTCTGGGCCGCGCTCTCCAGCCTCCGCCAGTGCTGGACGGGCACAGAGAGGCAGGCTGACCAATGTCCTGTTGCGGGGCTGAGGTAGGCCCCCCTGCCTCCTGCTACCTGCCATGGGTACCTGAACACACTGCACCAGGGGACCCCTCTAGGGAGGGTCGCCCCCTCTTCCTGACATGGTGTGAGTCGCGGGCAGAGCTCGAGCCCAGAACTCCTGGGAGTGGTCTTGGCAAAGGAGAAGCTGGGTGGCCCCGGGCAAGTCACCTCACTTTTCTGAACCTCAGCGTCCCCATCTGCAACACGGGACTAGCCACTCTGAGGGCGTGGCGAGGAGCAGCCATAACGGATGCAGAGGTTCCGGCTCCAGGCCTAGCAGGATGGCCTCCCCCCCCCCCCAGACCCCCAGACATAGGGCTGTGTGCTGGGACAGAGGACCCCCACTGCGGGCCAGGCCTCTGAGGCTTTTGGGGGTACAGTGACAGTTCAGAGAGGCCCCGGTCAGCTGTAGTCCGGTGCCAGAGAGCCATGGGGAGCAAATGCCAGCCTGTGCCCCTGCAGCCCACCGTGTGCTCCCCTCCCCCCACTCCCGCCTCATCGTACATGGCCTGCCTTCAGGCCCCAGCCACAGGCCTCCTCTCCCGGGAAGGTTTCCAGGTCCCTCTGCCAACCCTCAGAGGCTCCAAATGGGCCCCTCTCTGTTCGGCATCTTGGGGTGCTTCTTCCCCTCTGATAAGCGGTGGACACAGACTCCCCTGTCTGTCCTGAACCCTCCCTAGGGGAAGACACCCCCTTTCCCAGACTACCACCCAGAGCTTGGAGCCAGGGGAGACCCAACCTCCCCCAGAGGACCTGCTGAGAATGGACAGGCAGGGTCTGGATCCGCAGGGAGGGGTGTGGGGATGGGTGTGAGAAGCGGGGAGTGAGAGGTCTGAGTAGGCCGGAGGGCTTCCCGCAGGAGGGGAGCTCCCTACCTCCCCGCAGGGCCCCACTCCATCCTTGGTCCAATGCTGCCCCCGCGTGGACCACGGGCTCACATTCCAGCTGGGGACACGGTATCACTCCCGGGCCAGGAGCTCTCCAGAGGGAAAATCAGAGGCCTGAGCTGTGAGGCATACCCAGCGGCTGCGCCTCCAAGCTTCTGCCGGAAATGTCCTCTCTCTTCCCGACAGACCCTGAGCCCCAGCCTGGCGCCCCGCCTTCCCTTCTCCCAGAAGCTCTGAATCCATCTCTTGGAGGGACGTGAACTTCAGAGTTTATGTTCCAACTCTCCACCCCTCCCTTCTCAGCCTCCCCTTCTCTCCTCTTCCCTTCGACAGTCCACTCTCCACGCCGTTGTAGCCAGGGGTACTTTTTAAAATATATATATGTTTGTATTGATTCTTAGAGAGAGAGGAAGGGAGAGGGATAGAGAGATAGAAGCATCAGTGAAAGAGGAACATCATTGATTGGCTGTCTCCTGCACACCCCCACTCGGGATGGAGCCCCCAACCCATGCCCTGACCAGGAATTGAACCTCGACCTGTTGGTTCCTAAGTCGATGCTCAACCACTGAGCCACACCAGCTGGCCCCAGGGGTATTTTTTTAAGAACAAAAGTCTGTCACTTCCTGCCTAACAAACCCCTCAAGGATTCCCTTAGCCCTCAGGTCAGGTTTTTTGGTTTGTTTGTTTGTTTTAAAATATATTTTATTGCTTTTTTACAGAGAGAAAGGGAGAGGGATAGAGGGTTAGAAACACCTCCTACTGGGGATGTGCCCGCAACCAAGGTACATGCCCTTAACCGAATCGAACCTGGGACCTTTCGGTCTGCAGGCCAACGCTCTATCCACTGAGCCAAACCGGTTAGGGAAAAAGGCCAGGTTTTAATGAGACTTGGGCCAAGAACCTGGTGCAGGAGGAATAGGAGAAGGGAGAGGGGAAGGGAAGGCCGAAAGGGGCGGGACCAGGCTCGTAGCACCGCCTTCCAGCTGACGGTACCCTCCCGGCCTTAGGAACCTTTCTTCCCGGCGCCGGGGAAGCTTTTTCAGTAGTACCTTCCGGCCTCGACGACCGTATTTCCCGTGCTGCACCGCGGCCGGCTCTTTCTCTTCCGGTCCCTGGCGCTTCGGGAGCCGCGGGCTTCGGTGAGTACTCGCCGCGCGGCATCCGAAACCATCCGCGACTCCCGGCTGGCGGCGGGGCGCAAACCCCGGGGAGAACCGGGAGACGGGCTGCCTGCTGTGGGGGGCAGAGGCCGCGAGGCGGGGTGGCACTCGTGGGTTTGTCGAGGCGTGGATGGGAAGGGAGGACTCGGCTTTGGGGGAAAGCGCAACATTGCGGCGGGATGTTGGTTTCGGGGCGCCGTTCGCCGGATTTGCGGGGACTGGAGCCGGTGGTGCAGAGTGAGTGGAGGCCGCAGGGGCAAGGCATCTGCTGCAGCCTCGTCCTGGCTTCCTGCCCCGCCTTCCTCCTGCTCAGGGCAGGC